AAGGGAGGGGGTCTGGACCCTCCAAGACAAGCCATTTTAGACCTCGCCCATGGGAGAACCCTCCAGAACATCGTCCCCAGACCCCCCAGGCCCTCCAAGACAGCCTGGAAGAACCCCCCCCCCGAAATGAGACCCCCCTCCCTTTATCACAACATCTGGAGTACCTCTGGCCAAGACCACCCCGGAAAGCACGAGCACACTGGGGGCCAGCAGCTCCCGAGAAGCCCGGGATATACCTTGTCCGCGCGCGCGCGCGCCCGGCGGAACACCTGGCCGTCAAAGCACCCGGAACCTCCTGCCCGCAATCGCCCCGATGACTCCCCCCCGGGTTTCCCACCCGCGCGCCTCGAAACAGATGCCCTCCGCGTGAGAACTCGTAAGCTCTGGTGCGTCGGGGATGGACAGAACCCCCATTCGCAAAACGTGGCTTCGTGAAAACGACCTGGCGGGCCCCAACCTGGCGGGCGCAGGCCTGGAGAATGACGGGCGCGGCGCCCTCCCGAGAACCGAAAACGGACAATTCACTGACCGACGTGTCAGGGTGGCTCTGTCCACCCCCGATTCTGACTACCTACCAGACCACCCCAACCCAACCCGAAGACCCGAACTTGGCCCGAATTTCGGGTTGGGGGGGGAGTACGGGTTCCATGTGCTTTTCCAATGCTCCCCGACCCCCCCCCACTGGAAATCGAGGATGAATTTGGATCTTCGGGTTGGGTTGGGGTGGTTTGGTGGGTGGTGAGATTCAGGATGTGCAGGAGCTGCCGTCGGTCAGGGCGGTTCAGGAGGAGGAGGAGGAGGAGGAGGAGGAGGAGGAGGAGGAGGAGAGGAGGAGGAGGAGGAGGAGGAGGAGGAGGAGGAGGAGGAGGAGGAGGAGGAGGAGGAGGAGGAGGAGAGGAGGAGGAGGAGGAGTGAGACTCGAGATGTGCAAGGGCTGCCGTCGGTCTTCGTCCCCGCTCTCCCCGTGCACGTGCCGATCGTGCCGCACTCTCCCAGGTCGAGCGGCGGCCCCGCTGGTCGCGACGCGGCGACATGCCAGGATGGTGAGGAGGGGGAGGAGGAGGAGGAGGAGGAGGAGGAGGAGGAGGAGGAGGAGGAGGAAGAGGAGGAGGAGGAGGAGGAGGAGGAGGAGGATGAGGAGGAGGAGGAGGCTCTGTTCACCCCCGCGCGCGTGCGTCGGGGGGTCGACAAGAGCATGGGCGCGCGAGCTCGTCGTGACAGCGCTGCAGACGCTCCCCGCGTTCCGTCGCCGCCGCTGTCTGGCGTGCAAACGGCGCAGGACCTTCCCAACGCCGACGCCCAGCGACCCTTCTCTCGGACGACTTGGGCGTTGGCAGAACTGGGTTTGATAGTGATGTGCACTGGGGGACGCCCCCCCCCCATCCCGTTCCACTAACCGGAACTGCCGTCACCCGAAAGAACACCAGCCACGCCAGACCTGGTCTACTGATCCTGGCCAAGTTGGGGGCTCCAGGGCCCCACTGCTGACCGGGTCCCCCTACCTGGGGTCCTGGCTATACCCGACTTTCTCTCGGACGACCTGGGCCCGCCTCTGGCGGCCCCCCCCCCCCCCCCGAGAGCAGAAAGTCCACCCTCCGAGCAGTCGCCTCGACACGCGAAGCCGTGTCGCAGGCGCACGCCCGCAGGGCTGAGATCGAGCAGGGCAGGGCTGTGCAGTGGACGCCCAGGGCCGTGCAGTAGACGCCAGTCATTGGGCCCGGGCGGTACCATCGGGGCGTTGACCTAAGGAACGATAAATAAGGAACGAGGCCCCCTTTTGCTGACTACCTACCAGACCACCCCAACCCAACCCGAAGACCCGAATTTGACTCGAATTTCGGGTTGGGGGGCGTACGGATACCATGTGTTTTTTCAACGTTCCCCGACACCCCCCCACTGGAAATCGAGGATAAATTTGGGCCTTCGGGTTGGGTTGGGGTGCTTTGGTGGGTGGTGATTTGCCCACAAGTCAAACTTCGATCTCCAGCGGAGAACCTCCGGAAAACCGGAGGCAGACCGCAGAACAATCGAGGAACACCGAGCCCCTCCCCCACGAAGAGGGTTCCTTCTGCGGCGCCCCGACTGCATTTCCTCCCTGGAGCCCCTGGCCTCGGGACCGCGGCGCCGCGCTTCATCAGCAGCATCCGATGCCACCCCGTGTGGACCAGCAGGGTCGCTGGCGCGAGCCCGACGCCGCGTCTGCATGGCCAGCTGGCCTTTGCCTTCACCGAGCAGGGACCGACCGTCCCGGCATTCCTGTAGTCCTACCACGACATGTTCTTAGAATTCAACAATGTTCTAAGAACAAAGAAAAACGTTCTTAGAACATAAACCCGATGCGTTAAAACAAGACGGAATCCGCCAGACATGTTCTAAGAACATTGCGCGTAAGCCACAAAAGGTTCTTGGAACATTGTTTGGTAGGGCTATAGGCGAGCCAGGACGCTTCGCCACTGCTTGACTTTAGGCTCCACGCCCAGGCGCTTGGTACCAGCGGTGAAGAGGCGCAGCAAGTACACGCTGGTCGGCAGAAGTGGGTAGAAACATGAAGTAGGAAGGCGTTGGAAGAAGACTGGGCTTCCGCCCGCCCCCTGAAGAAGAGGGAAGAAGGAAAACAGTCGATCCTTGAAGTAGGAAGGCGCCTACAGTAGATTGGGATCTGGAAATCCAAAAAGATCTACTTTCAACGACCGGCGTGTACTTCGCAAACGCTGCTTCCACCGCGCACTGGCCAGCCGCGCGCTGAAAAACAGCGGCGTCGACAGCGCGGCCCTTGACGATCTCCCTGCCCATGGCATTATGGTACTCCGCCTGGGCGCTCCCAACGCCGCCGTCGTGGTTGAACCATAGTCTCGTAGGCCACACAACGATGCAGCCAACCCGTATAGTAAGGATGTACGGTAAGGATGAGAGGGTCTTGGAGGGCCATGCTCATGTTTTTCGAACGAGATTGGCCAGTGAAAGTCGCTAAGGTTGGGCCGAAGGGGCAAGGATGCAGGGGTACCCTTAGGACAATTGCCCATCCTGACTATGCGGGTTGACTGTAAACTGGGTGGCCAGGCTTGCATCCGTGAGCTCGCTCACCAAGTGCATCTCGGTTTTGATTAAACTGGTGATCGATCTCGCCCCTGGCATAGCCCAGCCGCTGCGGATCTTGCAAGAACCGCGTGACTTCCGCGTCCCTGGAGACCTTGAAGAAATCATCAGCGGCCGCTACGCCGTGACGCTTCTCCATCGTGTTGGTGACTTGGGTGTGGGCTTAAGCTGCGAACTCCGAGATGCGCTCGCGCGCGTTCATGGGCCCTCTGCGGAGCGCATTCAGCCATGCCCCTGCACGCGACATTGCTGAAAGCACACGCGCGCACATGATAACACAATGGCCCCCCAAACAATGATTCTGCGAAGCCTACGAAAAGATAGGAATCTGTTGGGCGGGGCCGTATGCCGCGACGCCCAATCGCCAAGTGTGCGGAACCCTATCATCAGAAATGCTAGCTTTCTAATGTCAGCACAGATTCGGAACACGGGCAGGGTGAGCCGACACCCCCGTCCAGGTGCGCAGTGAAACTTTCGCATGATGCTCCTTGCCTGGTAGCTCGCGCCGCCCATGGCCACGACAACGTGGCTGGCCAGACGCATCCACGCCGCGCGCTTGGCACTTACCGTCGAGGGTGCCCCCTCCGCCCCGACCTGGGCAGCCCCGCACAGGGTGCAGCACCATTTGGACCAAATGCCTTCTACGCAGGCAGCTGTCCAAACTATGACAGGCGCGAGGGACTACTACCAAGATGAGGAGGACGGGATGGAGCACGAGGGGGCTGACGCGGGAGTGAGCGAGGAGAAGGTGGCGATGAGGATTATCACGGTGACGAGGAAGTTGAGAGGAACGGAGGGCGGACGTCGAGAAGACACGGGTAAGGAAGACACGGAGGTTGAGGACAACGATGACGATGAGGTGGGTGACGATGATGAGGATCAGGATGATGATGAGGATGATGCTGATGATAATGATGATGGGAGGACGCGAGAATGAGGTGAAGACAAGCATGATGATCAGGTGGGCATGAGTGGTCATCACAGCCAAAAGGGCCACAAGAGAACTTCCAACAAGGCCCGACGAAACCTGTCAATGATGGCCATACATTATGTTGAAGATTCTCCGACTTTCGCCTTCTCGGGCTTCCGTCAGCTCAAGACGGTCCCAGAAGCCTCCAAGAGTTCCTCCCAAGACGGCCCAATCGGACTCCACGATGGCTCTGAGGCCGCAGAGACTGCCTCACTATGGCCCTAGAAGGCCTCCGGACAGACCCAAGATAGCCTCAGAAGGCCCTTCGACGGCATCCGACCAGCTCCAAGAGTTCCTCCCAAGACGGCCCAATCGGACTCCACGATGGCTCTGAGGCCGCAGAGACTGCCTCACTATGGCCCTAGAAGGCCTCCGGACAGACCCAAGATGGCCTCAGAAGGCCCTTCGACGGCATCCGACCAGCCGACCAGCGACCGAACAGCCGATCAAGCTGAGGCTTGGCCATGGACATCACCGCCGCCCTCATCGGATAAGGAATCATCCAGGGTCTGAAGCCTCCTTGGCGCACTCCTCAACGAACGCCCCCACCGTACACTTTTTTGTTCCCGGGCCAGGGAGGTGCCCAAGGTGCCTGCATGAATCCACATGCAGTCGGACCTCGCAACATGAACGGCGGCACAGACCCGCCCCGGGCGTCACATCTGCGCCGCTGTTGGCGCTGCCACGCGGAGCGCCGAAGCAGGAGCGGAGGGGCTCGTCCTGGCAGCGGCCAGCGTGGCCACGAAGAGCTCACCGACCTAGACCTCGGGAGCGGCCCGAAGACTGGAGCCCCCTCCCGAGCCACAGGCGGTCCTCATTTCGGGCGTCTTGGCCGATGCGAACAAGGGGCCTGCCACTGGAGACGTGCGGCGCGCTGGTCCCGGAATTGTAGCACGGGTGACATCGGGCTCGACCTTCGCCTCCCGCATCTCGCTCAGCAGCGCCAACGCCCGCTGCCACTTCTCGCCCTTCTGGCACGCGCTGATCCCAGCGTTGTAATTGACTGGGGCTGACCGTCCTGACCCATGGACCGACGTCCACGAAAGATCGCTGGCGCCTTTGCTTGCTTGCGTGCAGTACTGCGCGCGTGGCTGGTAGCCTGCTGGCCCGTCATCTTGCTTGCGTGTTTGCCCCTTGTATGTTGGACTGCCAGCCCGACGTTGCATGTCGCTGCCGCTTGTTGTTTCTTGGTGTTGCTTGCGGTGCGTGCTGCTGCTTGCTGCGGAGTGGTGTTGCTGCTTGGTGCTGGTGCTGTCAACGTGAGCTGTCGTTGCTTGCTGTTGCTGATTGCCGCTGCCGCTTTCTGTTGCAGGCAGCTGCTCGCTAGTTCTGCTTGCCTGCGTACCTGCGTGCGTGCTGTCATTATATTTGACTGCTAGTTGGCTGCGTATCGGACTTCCTGTTTGCTTGTCTGTAAACATCATTGCTTGCTTATCTGCTAACTGCGGTGTACTGCCCCTTGCTGTTGCTTAGCTACTTGCTACTAATTACTGTTGCGGTTGTGCTGCTGATAGTGGCGATTGGTTGCCTGGTGCGTAGTGCTGGTTGCTCTGGTTGTGTGATGTGTTTGGTGTTGTTCAATGTTTTTTATGATTGCCTGCTGCTGCTGCTGCTGGTTGCTGCTGCAACTTTCTGCTGCCAGCTCGTCATGGCTGCTGCTGCTGCTGCTGCTGGCTTCGTTTGCACTGGATCTGGAGGCGGTGCAACTGCTGTGGTGGGCCGTGTTGGGGGCATCTTGGGGGAACCTTGGACCGTGTCGGGACTCTCTGAGATTGCTGGGCTGTCCTGGGACACTCTTGGAGCCGCCCTGGATGCTTCATGGGGCACCGTATAACTCTGTTGGGGCACTCTTGGGGCCGTCTTGCGCGTTGGGCGTCCCCAAGGCCGTGCGAGGCACTCAGGAAGTCACGCTGGGGGGGGATAGAGTAGGAATTCAAAAACATTCAAACATCTCCTTATGTCGTTCGGCGGGGTTTGGCGTCTGATGTCTCTCGCGCGGCCTCACGTCAGCGGCGGCGCCAGAGGCGCTGCCAGGGGGCCCAACGCCGATCCAACAAATCTGCGCCAAGAATTGATGTTCATGCAATTCCCCCTTTTTCGAAACACCGTGAAACACCGTGATGGTCGTTCAACCTTGACTAACCGGTGGAGTGTCGACCGCCAGATTTTTCTTTACTGGCCGAATCTGGGCCTCTGGCGGCGTTTAACCTCGAACACTTTCAGCCTTGAACGCTCGCGACCCCCAGCAATGCAGATATGATGATATCGGGCTTCATCTTCATCTCCCACATCTCGCTCAGCAGCGCCAGAGCCCGCTGCCATTGCTCGCCCTTTTCGCAAGCGCTAATCCCGGCGCTGTAGCTGATGCCGTCGGGCTCCAGCTTCGCCTCCCGCATCTCGCCCAACAGCGCCAAAGCCCGCTGCCACTGGTCGCCCTTCTCGCACGCGCTGATCCCGGCGTTGTAGCTGAAGCTGACCAGGGGTGACCCGTGGATTATCTATTGTCCAGGAGTGCCAGGAGTCAAAGTGCCCTGGCTGCTGCTCATTGCGTCAGGGTGCGCTGTTCGCTGGATGATTCTGAGGGCGTCCAGAGCAGCGCTGGAAATATCAGCGGTAGCAGATCCAGGGGCATGGGCAGTAGCAACAGCAGCAACTCCCACCTCCTCCTCCTCATGCTCCTCCTCCACCTCCTCCTCCTCCTCATGCTCATCTTCCTCCTCCTTGTGATTGGCTCGTCCTCGTCCTCCGCTTCCGCCTCCTCCTCCTGCTCGTCGCCACGATTGGCCAGTCCTCGTCCTCCAGCTCGTGGGGTTCCTCCTCCTCCTCCTCCTCCTCGTCCTCGTCCTCGTCATCCTCCTGCCCCTCGTCCTCCTCTTCCCCCTACGGAAATTCACGCAGCTCCAATTCCGCAATCAAAAACACCTGTAGCAAAAAACTGAAAAAAGAGGAGGAGGAGGAGGAGGCCGAAGATGATTGGAAATGGCCACACCCCACGCCTCTTGAGACACGATCGGCGCGGGAAGGGATGCAGAAACAGCGCCCGCGGATGTCCACGGCTGCATTGGACACAATTTCTTAGGTAGTGCTGATGCGATGCAGGAAGCGCTGGGGGCCGTCTGGAGCCGTTCTTTGGGGCAAGAAAGAAGTTGGAGAACCTGAAAACCCCTTGGAAACCTTAAGGACAACGCACGATTTGGGGCTTGTGTGGCCAGCCAGTATCGTCGTCCCCCTGGGCCGTCGTGGGAGGCCTCTTTGCGTGTCTTGGGGCTGCCTTGGGCAATCTGGAGGGAGGCTCGCTTCCGGTTCTCTGGTGCCTTCCGAGCGCTCCCTTGGACGTCGCTGGACGAGGAGGAGGAGGAGGAAGAGGGGGAGGAGGAGGAGGAGGAGGAGGAGGAGGAGGAGGAGGAGGAGGAGGAAGAGGAGGAGGAGGAGGAGGAGGAGCAGGAGCAGCAGCAGCAGGAGGAGGAGGAGCAGGAGGAGGAGGGGGAGGAGGAGGAGGAGGAGCAGCAGAAGGAGGAGGAGGAGGAGGAGGCGTCGCTGAGCCGTCGCTGGAAGTCTCGGAGCCTTCCGGCGGCCGCCGAAGGCCAGCCAGGACCGCCATGGGGAGCCGCCCGGGGCCGAGCTGCGGCAGCGCAACCTCGCACGCGCCAGCCTTTGCATGGCAGTACATATTACAGCTGACTCGTGGATTTTTTTGCAGTTAACAGAAAGGCCAGGTTCGAGCACTCTGATACCAACCCGGCACAAGCAACAACAAGTGACAAGAAACACCATGGAGCCAACCCAGCACAAGCACAGCTGACTCGTGAAGCACGTCACGTGTTTTGGTCGAAATGGGTTTGGCCGTGACGGCGGGAATGCTGCCGACAAGCTTCCTCTTGGGCCGTGCATGGGGCCCTCCAGGGGCCAGATGGGAACCTTCTTGGGCCCTTTTTGGGTGCTCCTTGGGATTCCTGGGGGCCCTCGGGGGCATCCTGGAGCTATTGGGCGGCCCTATGCGTATCTGGATGGTGTTTGGGGAAGTTCCGGGCCCTGTTGTCTTGGAGTCCGTTGGGCGCCCTCATGGCCGTCTTGGGGGCATCTCGGGCCGTCCTGGGGCAACCTGGGGCGGCCTCTGGGGCCCTCGTGGGCGATCTGAGGCCAGAAAAAGCGAGTGTACGAAACTGCTTCAGCTGAAGAACATCAATCTGCTGAAACCTCTTCCAAGGGTCTCACTTGAGCCGTCTTAGGGCGCGCTGGGGGTCTTTTGGGCCGTCGGGAGTCCGTCTTCGGCCGCTTTGGGGGTCTTTGGTTTTCTTGGACCTCTCTGGGGCCGTCTTCGAGCCCTCTTGGGCGGTCTACTGACGAGTGCCTCTCTTGGAACGTCTTGGGGCTCTCTCGGGGCCTTCTTGGGCCGTCTTGGAACACCCGAGGGCGCCAAGGAACGCGCTGGGGCCTGCCGAGCCGATACTGATCCACTTGATTGTGGCACCATTCTGACACGCGGCGCTCCTGGCATTGCAGGAGAGACTAAAGCTATCCGTGGACCTTTTCCACGGAAGCCAATGTACCTACCGTGTTTTTTGCTGCTGAGGGTCCACGAAACTTCATCGCAGATAAGGGTGAAGATCGCTTGCCTGCTTGCCTGCTCGACTGCTGTCCTGCTTGCGTGGATGCTGGCCTGGGGAACAGCTTATAGCTAGGGTCATATCGACTGCTTCCTGGTTGGTTTCCTTGCTTTATTGTTTGCTCGTCCGCTTCCTGCCGCTTGCTGCTGACTGTTGCTCTTGCTGCAACTTTCTATAGACAAGTTGATCGTCCGCGCCGCCACGGGCTGGTGATGGCAGTTGCGTGCGTGCTGCTTTATGCGGCATGGCGTTGCTGCGTTCTGCTGCTTGGTGTTGTTTGACGCTGTCTGCCTGCTCCTGCTTGTGGCTGCAGGGTGCTGCTGATCACCAGTTCTGCCTGCAGCGTGCTACTGCCTGCTGCATACGGATACTGCTTGATGATGCTGTGTGCTGCTCGCTTCTTGCTACTGTTCGCTGTCACTGCTTGATGTTGCAGGGTGCTGCTTCTCGCTACGTACCTCTGGTTGGTGGTTCAATACCTCGGGAGAGGATCGAGGAGTACGGAGCAAGGACCCATCGAGGATGGAGAAGGTAAAAGCGAGGGGCAATCAGCAAGGGGCGAGAAAGGATGAGCGACTGCCGAGGAGAGGTGGGCGAGGAGAGAGAGAGAGAGAGGGAGAGAGAGAGAGAGAGAAAGAAAGAAAGAAAGAGAGAGAGAGAGCCGAGAAGACAGGAAGAGGGGGAGAGAGGTGCGAGTTGCCAAGGGACAGGAGGAGCGAGGAAGAGTGAGAGGAGAGGAGCAAAGAGCGAGGAGCGAGGAATGAGGGGCGAGGAGCGACAACCACACGAGTCTCCCAGTGACCTCGACTCGCGGATGGCTGAGCACCTGGTTCCTCTTGGGTCGCCGCGGGGCCCTCTCAAGGCCAGCTTGGGGTCTTACTGGAGCCTTCTTTATGGCTTCTTGGACTCCCTGGGGGCCCTCTGAGGACTCCTGGGGCCATCGGGGCGTCCCTTGGGGCGGTCGGGGTGCTGCCGTGGGTCCATCTTGGGGCGGTCTTGGGCACTCTTGGGGCCGACATGGGGCCACCTTGGAGGTCAACCGGGCCCATCTTGGGCTTTCTTGGGGGCATCTTGGGCCCTCTAGAGGGCTCAGTCTCTCGAGCCCTCTTAGGAGTCTTTCTGGCCCTTCTTGGAGCCATCTCGAGCCCCAAACTGGGGAGTTCCGAACACTTGAGTATCATGATGTTCGGGACCATGTCCGCCTCTTGAGCGCCCTGCTGCACGAAGCCACCCTGGAGGCAATCGGCGCCACCATCTTGGCGCCATCAAGGGGCGCCTTGGGGCTTCTGGGGCCACCTCGGGGGGCTGCCTGGCAGTAGTGTTCGCTTCCTGTAGGCTCTCTTCGGCTACACATTAGCGACCCTCGGCAAGAGTGCCCTTTGATACGCGGCTTTGGAAGGCTGCGTGGTGGCCACATCAACGCGCGCCCGTCAGTGCTGGGGACCCCTGCGGGCCCGCACCAGAGGTCACTCGGGCGAAGGGTCACTCTCACGCGTAGCCGACCTCTTGGGCCGCATGAGGCCCACAAGGAGGCTCGGCGGAGGAGGAGGAGGAGGCTCGGCGGAGGAGGAGGAGGAGGAGGAGGAGGAGGAGGAAGGAGGAGGAGGAGGAGGAGGAGGAGAGGAGGGAGGAGGGGAGAGGGAGGAGGAGGAGGAGGAGGAGGAGGAGGAGGAGGAGGAGAGGAGGAGGAGTGGGAGGAGGAGGAGGAGGAGGAGGAGGAGGAGGAGGAGGAGGAGGAGGAGGAGGAGGAGGGCGCCCCTGGGCGCGCCTGGCCGGCCGGCCGAACCGATTATGACTCACTTGGGCGGGCGCTCGTCTGGCACGTACCGCGTCGGGCATGAGGATAGAGATGACGTTGGGCTCCAGCTTCGCCTCCCGCATTTCGCACAGCAGCGCCAGAGCTCGCTGCCACTGCTTGTCCTTCTGGCACGCGCTGATCCCGGCGTCGTAGCTGACGGACCCGTGGACTGCCGTCCACTCAAACCTACTGGCATGCAAGCACGAGGCCTTCCTGTGTTACCTGGCTGGCACTGCTGCTGCTCGGTGGCGGTCGTTGCTACGTGCTGTCGCTCTCTGCTGGACATTCTCGCAGCCCTGGGGGGAGAAACGACCCGACATGTCTGGGAGCTCAGCTTCGGGCAAAAGGAGGGCCATATTGAAGCCCTATTGGGGCCTCTTGGGGATACGGTGGGCCCTTATTCGACGTTCGTGGGGCTACTGCGTGCCATCTTGGGGTTCCTTGGGGCCTCGCGGGGCCCTTCTGGGACGTCTCGGGGCGATCCGGGGGCGTCGTGAGGCCCAATCTGGACTTTCCCTCGCGCCGTGTGACTTCTCGGTGCGCGGGCTGCTACTTGTTGTTGCTGCTGCTGCTGCTGCTGCTGCTGCTGCTGCTGCTGCTGCTGCTGCTGCTGCTTGCTGCCTATCGCTTCTCTTGCCGGCCGATTGCTGGTGCATGCTGCTGCTTGTAGCGGTGTGGTGGTGCTGTTGCGCTACAGCGTGGTGCTGGCAGTGCGTGCTGACAGTGCGTGCTGCTTCTGCTGCTTGCCGCTGCTGCTCACTCGCTGCAGGCTGATGCTGCTGCTGCTGCTGCTGCTGCTGCTGCTGCTGCTGCTGCTTACTAGCTGTGCTTGTCGATGCTGCATGCTGCTGCTGGCTTTGCTGCTGCAATTTCTTGGGCAGTGCAGGGGCCCCCTTGGGCCGCAGCCCGCAATGCCGTCTTGTCCGCCTCCTCCTCCCTCCTCCGCCTTCTCCTCCTCCTATCTCCTTCCTCCTCCTCCTACCTCCTACCTCCTCCTCCTCCGCCTCCTCCTCCTCCTCCTCCTCCTCCTCCTCCTCCTCCTACCTCCTTCCCCCTCCTCCTACCTCCTACCTCCTACCTCCTACCTCCTCCTCCTTCTCCTCCTCCTCCTCCTCCTCCTGCGCCTCCTCCTCCTGCTCCTCCTGGGGGCCTTGTCGGGCCCTGTGGGCGCTCTCGGGCCGTCTCGGGGCTCCCCCACGCCGTCGTGGCATCCTCCAGGGGGCTCTCTGGAGACGCCACGCGTCCCGCGGTCTTCTTGGGACCACGACAAGTGCTCTCGGGGGGGGCTCCGTGGACAGCGACGGCACACGCAACAGCTCTAGAAGAAGACAAGACTGCAGAAGCCCAAGACTGCAGAGGCCGATCCAACACACCCGCGCGGAGCTCCAAGACAGGCTTCCGTGCATGCCGCCTGTTGCCCCTCGATTCCCGGCAGGCGAAGCACGGCGCAACAGCTCAGCGGGAGCACCTGTCCCTGACTGGGCTCGGAGAAGGGCGAGTCAAGACAACGGCAGCTCGAAGTCGGTCCCCGGACCCCTCCCAGAGGCCAAACGCACCAGCTTCCCGAGCTGCGTCCAGCCGTGGCGACGAGCCCCCCCCCCCCCCCCGAAGACGAGCTGCCCGTGTCTCGACTCGCCCTTCTCTGATGGGCTCTCCCGAGGGCTCTCGTGCGCCCCGTGGGCCTGCTCGGGGGATGTCGGGCACAGCCCTCCCTTCCTGCTCCTCCCTCCTCCTCCTCCTCCTCCTCCTCCTCCTCCTCTTCCTCGACCTCTTAACTTCTCCTTTTTCTTACGCTTAGTATGATCATTATTAGTGTAATTCCTCCTGCTCCTGCTCCTGCTCCTGCTCCTGCTCTTGCTCCTGCTCCTGCTCCTCCTCCTTCTCCTCCTCCTACCTCTTACCTCCTCCTCCTCCTCCTCCTCCTCCTACCTCTTACCTCCTATCTCCTACCTCCTACCGCACCCTCTCCTCCTCCTTCCCCACCCCTCCCCTATCGCATCCCCCAGACGTGTCGTTGGGTCGGGCTGGGCATTCGCCTGAGACTTCCTAACTAATCAATTACGATCCTGAAGCTTGAAGCTTGCAGCAGCTTCAAGGATGGAGGCCGGCGCGCTTTCAAACTGTGGCTCCCGTGCACATTCGTCTTAGAACATGGAGGGCGTGTGGTTTTCAACATGTTGGCTCCTGCTCTAGCGCCACGCACATTCGTCGCAAAAGTTTGCAACAGCTTTGAAGGGTGGAGGGTGGCTCCTTTTCAAACTGTGGCTCTCGTATTCGCGCTGCGCACATTCGCCTCAAAATTGACAGCAATTTCAAGGATTTGTACGACTGAAGTCCCAGGAACTGTGTTCTGGCACTGTTCAGGATTGTCCTGACGCAACAATTCAGTTGATTCGCTGTGTTGAAGTCCCAGGAACGGCGTTCTGGCACTGTTTAGAACCGTCAGGGCGCAACAATCACGTTGGTTCAAGGTGCACAAGTCCCTGAAATGGTGCTTTGGGCACGGCTGAGCATTCTCAGACGGTTGCCTTGCAATGGAGCACCTCCAACAATGGAAACCAATCGTTGTAGGGACCTCTGAAGAGGGAGCTTGGAGGAAGGGCTCATGGCAACATGGTTGATGCGTCTTGGGTTTACACTTCCTCCTCTTCCTCCTCTTCCTCCTCTTCCTCCTCCTCCTCCTCCTCTTCCTCCTCCTCCTCCTGATGGCATCATGGGTCCATGGCATCATGGCATCATGGCATCATGGCATCATGGGTCCTCCTCCTCCTCCTCCTCCTCTTCCTCCTCCTCCTGATTCCTCCTCCTCCTCCCTCCTCCTCCTCCTCCCTCCTCCCTCCTCCTCCTCCTCTCCTCCTCCACCTCCTTCCTCCTCCTCCTCCTCCTCCTCCTCCCTCCTCCTCCTCCTCCTCCTCCTTCCTCCTCCTTCTTCCTTCCTCCTTCCTCCTCCTCCTCCTCCTCCTCCTCCTCCTTCCTCTCCTCCTCCTTCCTCCTTCCTCCTACCTCCTTCCTCCTCCCTCCTCCCTCCTCCCTCCTTCCTCCTCCCTCCTCCTCCTACCTCCGACCTCCCACCTCCTCCTACCTCAGGCCAGCCAGGGGCCAGGTCGGAGCCGTGCGGGGGCGGCACGGACGCAAACGCGCGGCCGGCGCCGCGTCGCGACCAGCGGGGCCGCAGCCCGACCCCTGGGAGAATGCGGCACGATCGGCACGTGCACGGGAAGAGCGGGGGACGAAGACCGACAGCAGCTCCTGCACATCCGGAATCGGGGGTGGACAGAACCCCCGCCCTGACACGTCGATCGGTGAATTGTCCGCTTTCGGTTCTCGGGAGGGCGCCGCGGCCGTCATTTTCCAGGCTTGCGCCCACCATGTTTGGGCCCGAGGTCGTTTTCACAACGTTTTGCTGAAGGGGGTTCTGTCCATCCCCGATTGATCAGGACTCGCTGTCGGCGTCGCCGCGGGCCTCATCCATTCGAGACAACACAGCGCCTGCCCAGCATTGGCCGATGTCGGCTTTGGACAGCGTCTGCTGTTGGGCCTCGTGCCCCATCCGTTCCGTACCCACTGCGGGCGTGCCAGGGGGGGCACCCTCGCACGCGCAACTCCCAGCAATGTGGCGCAGACTTTGGGTGACGTCGGGCTCCAGCCTCGCCTCCCGCATCTCGCTCAGCAGCGCCAAGGCCTGCTGCCACTGCTCGCCTTTCTGGCACGCGCTGATCCCGGCATTGTAGCTGACGTACTGTAGGAGAGACTAGGGCTGACCTGTGGACTACGTCCACTTGCTGGGTGAAGCGTGTGGGGGCCCCTGGGGATGTCATTACAACGTGGGGCTCGACCCTCGCATTCGGCACATGCCTCTGCGTGGTGTTGCTTGCTGCCGCTGTTGCATGTTGTTGGTGATTCTTGCAGCTGATGCGTGTCGTTGTTGCTTGTGGCTGAAGGGTGCTGCTGATGGCCACGTCTGATTGGTGCGTGCTGCTGACCGCTACGTCCTGCTGCTGCTGCTGCTGCTGCTGCTGTTTGCCGTTGCTGTGCGCTGACGCTATTGTTGCCTGCTTCGTGTTTCGTGCTGCCGCCTTCGGGTAGTGGGGGCGTCTGGGGCCGCCCCAGGATGGTCTTGAGCCACCCAGAGGCTGTATCAGGGCCAAGGCTTGAAATTGAGAAGCAACAGTGGGCCTTCTTTCCTAACGATCGGGGGCCACATGCGAACCCTATCCCTACCCCCACGATTTCTGGGGGCGAGGGTGGGGTTCACTTCGCTCGCGAGCTCCCGAGCGAAGTGAACCCCACCCTCCCCCTCAGAAATCGTGGAGGGGTAGGGGTAGGGTTTGCATGTGGCCCTCTATCGTTAGGCCGAGCGAAGTGAGCCCCACCCTCCCCCTCAGAAATCGTAGGGGGGCAGGGGCAGGGCTCGCATGTGGCCCCCTAAACGATGTTCCATGGCGGCTGTGGCTGCCCGAGGTCGCAGGATGCGCGCAGGCTCCCTTGGGCTGGGGAGACGATGGAAGGCACTGCGGAGCATGCTTATGTCGGGCGTGCCCCCCCTACAGGGGGATTGTCGACGAAAAAAAAAGATACCCCCAAAACGACTCCCCAAAAAGTCAAAAAATACCCAAAGCATAGTCCCCAGACTATTGTTTGATCATTTTTTGACTATTGTAGGGGTGTTTTATATTATTCATAGAAAATCCCCCTGTAGGGGGACAGGTCCGACTTGAAGCATGCCCCCAATGGCCAGCCTGTCCGGAGCACTCTCGGAAACAATTCCCGGACGTGTCGCCCATTGAGACCAGAGCCTTGGCAGAGGAGGGGAGACAAGAAGAGGCGCATGGGCGCATGATTATCCTGGGTGGCCGGCGCGGTCCCAACGCTCTCCGAGGGAGCTTCCCTCGGAAGCCTCTTGGAGGCGATTTTGGGGGTGTCTTGCGGCCTCTCGAGGGTCTCTTGGGACCTGATTTGGGCTTCTCAGGGGGCCTTCTGGGGCGTCTGGGGGGCCTCTTGGGGGCCAGCTGGCGGTTTCGGGGATCATCCTGGAGCGGAGGGCGCGAATTGTCAGTCCGAGTTCTCCCTCGTGGGACCCTCCTGGGGCCGTCTTGGGGGCTTGGGCCGCCTTGGGGCCCTCTTGGGCTGTCTGGGAGCTCTCTTGGGGGCCCCTTGGGCCATCTTGGCGCGATCTTGGGAGCCCTGGGGCTGGCTCAGAGAGTCGAGACGTCGAAAAGGCGAGAACACTGAAACCCTTCAAAACACACACACACACACAAACACACACACACACACACCACACACACACCACACATACACCACACACACCACACACACCACACACACCACACACACCACACACACTACACACACCACACACACCACACACACACCACACACACCACACACACCACACACACACACCACACATACACCACACACACACACACACACACACACACACCACACACACCACACACACCACACACACCACACACACCACACACACACCACACACACCACACACACCACACACACCACACACACACCACACACCACACACACACACACACACACACACACACAACACCACACACACCACACACACCACACACATACACACACACACCACACACACCACACACACCACACACACACACCACACACACACACACACACACACACACACACACACACACACACACACACACACACCACACACACCACACCACACACACACACACCACACACACACACACACCACACACCACACACACCACACACACACACACACACACACACACACACCACACACACCCACACACTCCACACACACCACACACACACACACACCACACACACAAACCACACACTCCACACACACCACACCACCACACACACACACCACACACACCACACCACACCCACCACACACACACACACACACACCACACACTCCACACACACCACACACACCACACACACCACACACACACACACACCACACACACACCACACACACACCACACACACCACACACCACACACAGAACACACAACACACGCACAACACACACACACACAACACACACAACACACAACACACAACACACACAACACACATACAACACACACAACACACAACACACACACAACACACACAACACACAACACACGCAACACACACAACACACACACACACAACACACACAACACACAACACACAACACACAGCACACACAACACACACACAACACACACACAACACACACACAACACACACACAACACACACAACACACACAACACACATACACACAACACACACAGAACGCACAGAACGCACACAACACACACAACACACACACAACACACACAAAACACACAACACACAACACACACACACACAACACACACACACACAACACACACAACACACACAACACACAACACACACACACACAACACACACACACCACACACACACACACACCACACACACCACACACACACAAGGGAAAGCAACACTGTGGGGCCTGATAGGGGAGTCTGGAGGCCTCTTCGGGGCCAGCTGGCGGTTTCTGGGATCATCCGGAGCGGAGGGCGCCAAATGATACTTCGAACTCCCCCTCGTGGGGCCTTGTTGGGGCCGTCTTTGGCCGTCTTGGGGGCCTCCTGTGCCGTCTTGGGGTGATCTTGGGTGCCCTGGAGCCAGCTCGGAGCGGGGAAACTCCGAAAAGAGGAGAACGCTGAAACCCTTGCAAAAACCGAATGCAATCAACGAGTTTGGCCTCTGGGGGCCCTCCTTAGGGCATCTTGGGCCGTCTTCTGGCACTGTGGGGCCGTGTGGAAGCCATATTGGCGACCTCTTGGACCGTCTGGGGGTGTCTCGGGCCATCTTGGGCCGTCTTGGGGCCCTCAGAAGCCGTCCTGGAGGCCCCCCGGGGCCGGACCGGGCCGGTTTCGGCTCATTGGATCCACCGCCCTTCTGTCACGCGCGCCCCCCAGCGTTGTAGTATAGACAAGTGTGCACCCGCGGAGCAAATCTGCAGGTGCCCTGGCAAGGGAACGCGGCGGGGCCATCTCGGGGTCATCTTTGGTCGTCTTGGACGCCTCTTGGGCCATCTTGGGGTTTTCGCTGAATTGTCTTGCAGCTCTTCTTGCAGACTTGCAGGAGGCTCTGGGTGCACCCGGAGAACCTCGAAGAGTACCCCAAGAGGGGCTCGCGAGGGCCCGCAGACGGCCCCAAGAGGGCCCCCAGAAAGTACCCTACGGATGCAACAACAAGGGGGTGCGTTGCACCCGTTGGGGGGCCTCTTCGGGCTCTCTGGGGGCGCTCATGGGGCCGTCTTGAGATGCACCTGAGGCTCTAGTGGGCCATCTCTGGGCCATCTTGGATCATCTTGGGCGCCTCCTGGGCCGTCTTGGGGCTCTCTTGGGCCGTCTTGGGGCTCTCTTGGGTCGCCTTCCTTGGGGCCCTCTCGGGCCGTCTTGGGATTCTCGGCGGCCTCTTGGGCCGGCTTGTGGCGATCTTTGGGGCTGTTGGGCCGTCGTGGGCGCATTGGAAACATATTCGGCGAATTTGGAGGCCTCTTGGACTCGCTCGGGCCGTCTGGGAGGAGGCGCAGGCCCTCCCGGCGGGTCCCCTCCCTGGCTTTGCCACGATTCGCAAGTTGCACGCGCTTGTTTGATATACTAGTGTGAGCCCGTGGACTAAATATATCCACGGTGTGCTGCATCTGGGACTCGCACACCGTGGGTGGACAGCTCGTCGAAGTTGAATAGCTTGGGTGTCTCTGAGGCCGTGTCGGGGGCATGTCGGGTCCCCCTGCGAGCATGCATGGGGCGTCTTGAAGGCCTCTTGCGATATTTTGGGTGCCTCTGGGGCCGTTCCCGGGCGGTCCCCCAGAGCCTCGTCTGGTGGACAGCCCGGGAAGCTTTGTGTAGAATCGCCGTGGGGCCGTCCTAGGGCGTCCTTCGGGGCTCTTCTTTGGGACTGCCTCCGCGCGCTCTGGGGTCACCTGGGGAGCCTTTGGGCCGTCGAAGGCCTCCCCTGGGAATACCTTAGGCAACGCTGGCGCGAACCAGAAGCCGCTTGGAGCCGTTTTTTAGGTGCGAGATGGGGAGACCCTGAAGCCGACAACCCGACTCGGGGATACGTGCGACCTACACCCTGCGAGATGCTTAAGAAATCATGGGTTAAGAAATTGATAGTCTCAGGACTTGAACCAAACCCAGAACTTCTATCAAAATCTTGGGATTTACATTGAAACGTTAAGAATAATCGAGACTCTGGACGAAAACTCTGGTTTTCTTAAGCATCGCCTCAGGTGTAGGCCCCGTGAGACCAGGCCCAGCTGCGGGCCCAGAGAGCGGCTCCGGTTCTCGGGCCGCTCCTGGGACCCGGGTCGGGGAGCCGCGTCCTGGCCGAGGCCCCCCCTCGGCGGTCCCACCAGGCCGAGGCAGCTCCTGGGAGCCTTCCATACCATTTTTTTTCTGGGGGGGGGGGGGGACCCATAGTGGCTCAGGAGGCTCCAGGGGGTCCCAGTTGAAGGCGGTCGACTCCTTGGTCGAGCAGTCCGAGGACACCGTGGCGAGGGGGGGGGGCCCACTGTCCGTGGGGAGCGCCTGAGCCTTCCATACCATCTTGTCGGTTCTTGCGACTCGACGCGAATCGACGCTAGTTGACGCCAAACGACGCGAAATCGACGTCGATCGACGCGAACCGACGGGAAGTCGGCGCTATCTCATCGACTCCCAGACACCCATCGACGCTAAAGACCGAATTAAAAGGGTATACCAGGCTCCCATGATTTGCCACCGAAACATCTGAATTAAAACAGGACTGTTCCGTGGACCGCCGCCCGCGCAAGCTCGCTCGCATGCAAAGGTGAAAGCCTCCTGCCTGCTCGAGCGCCCACGTGCTGTCCCGCTATCGCAATTCAGCCTGTTGGCCCTGCCTGAATGCTCGTCCTGTTTCTCTCGCTCGTCCGCGCGCTGCCACTCGGAAGGAGCAACGAGGAACGAGGTGAGGGTGAGGGGCGGAAAGCGAGAAGCCGGGAGTAGCCGGGAACGGAAGGCAACGAACCACCGGCGAGGAGCGAGGGGACGCGGAGGGACTAGTGTGGAGCAAGGAGCGGTGAGAGAGAAGCGATGGGGCTAGAAGAGAGGAGCATGGCGCGGAACGCCGCGGCCAGAAGAGAGAACGGGAGAAAGAGAGACAGTGAAGAGAGAGAGAGAGAGAGAAAAAAAAAAAGACAGAGGAAGAGAACATTCTATGAAACACACAACACCTGAGAGTGCAGAGAGGGAGAGAAAGAGAGAGAGAGAGAGACATGACTGGCATAGCTTACCAGCATCCTGAAACCGCCCTGCCGGGCCCGAGCCTGTCGAGCGCAACACCGATGCAAGATGAGGCGGCTCCTATTCTCAACGATGCGATGAAGCCGAATTCGGCACGCCAAGCTGGCCGGCCGAAAGACAGGGCGTGGGGACCAAATAACGTCTGTCAGCCGTCTGTCAGCGGAGAAGCAGGGAATAGGGACCATCTTGAGCAGGAAGGGGTAATCTTACAATGTCTGCCAATCTGGTCCCCAAGTAGCATGGCATAACTACTACTACCAATGTGCATCGCATGCGGTGAAGTACATGTGATGCAACCCCTGTGGTGGTACGCATTGTCTGTGCACGTTCTTGCCCTGGCGCATCGACAGCCAGGGCAGAAACGATGATTAGTAACCATCAAAAACATCAGATGGCATCGTCCATAACCATATAACACTAAAACAACAGCAGACACAACCGTGAAAGGCATCACAAGCCACCATCAATTTAGTACTAAGACGAAGTCGCGAATATCGCAACCATCACAAACATTATAGTGCATCAGCCATTGAGCACCTCCGATGAGGCCCCTGGGCAAGAACCCGAAAGTCAAAACTACCCGAGGCATCACAAAACACCATGCATGGAGGACCACCCACTAGAGCGCCATGACAAAAGCGGATATCGTAACCATCAATTTCGCCATAGGACACCAGCCATAGACAAACACCCACAGAGCACCGCGGCAAGAATGTGAAAATCATAATCATGGTCATGTCCAAATTCTTTGAACACATGTATGACCCAATGTGTGCAAACACTGTCTAGGGAAATAGCGAAACGTGCTGACCCCCTATCGATGGGTTATGGGGATGCTCCGACATGTAACTCGGTCCCTGGGCACTTCCCGCACGCAAGGGGGTCATGCATTATAAACCAGGTTACGTCGGGCTCCAGCATCGCCTTCCGCATCTCGCTCAGCAGCGCCAGGGCCCGCTGCCACTGCTCGCCCTTCTCGCACGCGCTGATCCCAGCGTTGTAGGAAACTAGGGCTGACCCGTGGACTCCGTCCACGACATCTTTCTGGAATGGTTCTCGGAGGAACGGCGCAGATTGTACCGAAAATCTACAAACACGGCGGCGGCTCGGGCGGCGGCAGCGAGACCGCGCCTTCGTGTCCGAGCTCTTGCAGCGCTGCATCAGCTTGGCCCAGCGCACTGCTCGTTCACCCCCCTCCTATTGAGGACAGTTTCGGAGCTCGGGGATGTGCGTCGAAGTCGAAGCCCATCTGAGGCGTCTCAGGAGCGCTCGGGGAAGGGCTCGGGAGGTCATCGGGGAAAGCCACCGAAAGCGCCGGGGAGGCTCGCAAGGATCTACAGGGAGGGCCCAAGAGAGCTTCAAGAAAATTTGAAATCCAGTGAACTCTTAAGAGAAACCGCTGTTGGGTCGGCCATCACCTCCGGGCGCGCCTTGATGGTGCGATCCAGTCGCATCACCGCCAACGGGAGGGTTTGTTCGCCATGTCCCATTCTGTTCGCCCAGAGGGTCTGTGGAGGCCTTCGGGCGAACAGAACGGGACAGGGCAAGGAATGGGGAAGACATGTCCGAATCTCCTGGGCCCCCCAGATGCTCGTCCGAAGAATGCGGAGAGGTCCCAGGGTCATATCAATTGGCTGCTGTCCCAGGGGTCCGGTCTGCTTGGCCCGAAGAGTTTGCCAAGGCCCCTGGGGGAACAGAATGGCACAGCATATCGGGCAAAGGGGGGCGGTAGCTGGCCTGTCAGACCCGGCGTTCGTCTTCTGCCCAAGCGGCGCGGGGCCCACGGGCCCCAGGGTTGGCGTCCCGCTGGGATTCCTCTTGTTCGCCCACAGGGTTGGAGGAGGCCTCCAGGCGAACAGAATGGGGCAGGACAATGAATGTGGGAGACTTGTCGCAAGCTCCCAGCCCCCCCAAGTGTGCGCCCGAAGGGTGTGGGGCCGCGTTGGCTCCCTCAAAGGGCCGTCTTGGAGCCGTCTAGGCCCGTCTTGAGGGCGCCGTTTGCCCTGATGGGGCCGTCTTGGTTCGTCGTGGGCCCCTCATGGGCGCGTCCGTAGGCCGTCCTGGGCCCATCGGGGTCCTCGTGGGGCTGTCTTGGAGCCGTCTGGGACCGTGAGGAGGCCGCCTTGGAGTCGTCTTGGGCCCCTCCTGTGCGCCTCCTTGGGCCGTCCTGGGCCCAGCAGGGGCCGTGTTGGCACCCTCTTGGGGCTGTCTTGGAGCCGTCTTGAGCCGTCGCAGCGCGCCTTGGGTTGTGCTGGGTCCGTCTTGGCCCGTCTTGGGGCCTTCCTGGGCGGTTCCTCGGACCCTCCTGGGACTTTCTGGGGCCTCTTGGTGCATCGGACCGCCGAAACGGCGGGAAACGCAAAGGGTGTAACAGTAAACAATGGAAAATTAACGATTTTTGCCAGCTGGGACTCTCTTGCCATCTTGGCCCGTCTTGAGGCCCCGAACGGGCGCGTCCTTGGGCCGTCCTGGGCGCACCCTCCTGGGACCGTCTTGGAATCGTCTTGGGCCGTCTTGAGCGCGCCTTGGGCCGTCCTGGGCCGGTCTGGGGCCGTGTTGGCACCCTCGCGGCGAGGAAGCTCGGAGGTGGGCTCGAGGCCTCTTCGGGGCCATTTTGGAAGCTGTTGGGGCCTCTGTAGGGGCCTCGTTTGGGCTCCTTGGGAGCCTCCTGGGGCCTCTTCGGGGGATTCTTGGCGGCCCCTTGGGGCCTCTTGGGGGCCTGTTTGGGCCTCCTGGCGCCCTCTTGGGGCGGAAGGCTCGGATTTTCGGTCCGTGGTCCCCCTCTTGGCCCCCTCTTGGGCCTGTCTTCGGGCCCTCGTGGGCCGTCTTGAGCGTCTCTTGGGTCGTCTTGGGGCCCTCTTGGGCTGTCTTGGGGCGCTCTTGGAAACCTCTTGGGCCGTTCTGGGGCGCTCTTGGAGGCCTCTTGGGCCGTCTTCGAGCGTCGGAAAGCGGAAAAGGCGAGAAGGCCAAAATCCTTCCAAAACCGTCGTAAAGCGGACGATTTTGAGGCCCAAAACCGTCCAAAACCTCCTGAGGCGGTCCCCTCGTCCGCCCCCCTCGCTTCGAAGCAGTTTTTAAGCCCCGTGGCACCTCTTGGGGATCTCTTTTGGGCTCCTGGGGGCCTCTTGGGCCTCCACTGGATTCGCTGCCCTCGGTCGGCAATCGTCGATCCTACGACGACTCTCCCCAACGGAGAAACATCGAAGGCCCTCGGAGCGTCCAACATTGTTCTTTTGTGCCTTCGATATGCCGGTCGCCTCTCGTCCGCTCCCCCCCTCCTGGAAGCAATTCTGAGGCCACTTAGGGCTTCGTGGGGGCCGTTTGGGGATCTCTTGGGGCGTTTTTGCCTGCGATATGCCTGTCGCCTCTCGTCCGCTCCCCCGCTCCTGGAGGGAATTCTGAAGGCACTGAAGGCTTCGTGGGGGCCGTGTCGGAGCCTCTTCGGCCTTCGTTTGGGCCTCCTGGGGGGGCTCTTAGGGCCCTCTCGGGCCGTCTTGGGTGCCTCTTGGGCCGTCTTGGGGCTGTCTGAGACCCGCCTCGGCGCCTCTTGGGCTGTCGTGGGCCGTCTTGGGCCGCTCCTGGGGTCGTCTTGGGTGCCTCTTGGGCCGTCTTGGGCGCCTCCTGGGCCGTCCTGGGGCCGTCCTGGGGCGTCTTGGGGCCGTCTTGCTTGGGGCCCTCCTGGCCCGTCTTGGGGCTCTCTTGGGGTACTCTTCGGCCGTCTTGGAGCGGTCGGGGGGACTTCTTGGGCCGTCTTGGAGCGTCGGGAAGCCGAAGAGGCGAGGAGGCCGAAACCATCGAAAACCACAGTAGAAATCGACGATTTCTGTCGCTCGGGGCCCTCTTGGGAGGCCTCTTCGGGCGTCCTGGACGCCTCTTGGGCCGCCTGGGGCGAATCTCGGGCGTCTTGGGCCTATCTTTAAGCGTGCCGGGGCTCTCTGGGGCCGTCTTGGGGGCTTCTGGGGGCCCTCTCGACATGTCCTGGAGCCTGCCTGGGCGGCCCGGGGCGGCCCGGGGCCAGCCCGGGGCGGTTTTGAGACATTTGAGCCTGCGCCCTTCCCGCACGCACGTGCCCCTGCAATGTAGTAGAGAAGATGACATTGGGCTCAAACTTCGCCTCCAGCATCTCGCGGAGCAACGACAAGGCCCGCTGCCACTGTTCGCCTTTCTCGCAGGCGCTGGTCCCAGCACTGTAGCTGACGCGCGTCTGGCCTCGAACGTTTATTCCTCGTGCGTGTCTTGGCTTCGTGCGTGCTTTTTTGCTGCTCGATGATCCAGGGTGCTCCTCTCCTCGATGGTCCTCGCCGAGAATTTTCTGTTCCCCCCCAACCAAAGGGTTCTCCAGGGGGCCCGCTGAGTTCCCAAGGCCTCGGTCACCAAGGTCATCAGGAGAGACATCACCCCTGCGGCTCTTTAGCCTGCGCCAAAGGCCGTGTTCGACAAGGACGCGCAGCGCGGCGTGAACCGCCCAGGCGAGAGAGCAGTGCGGATGCTGCGGATTACCATGTTGCGTCGGCGCCAGAGGAAAAACGAACAAGACAAGGCCTCAACTCGAAGATAGTCCTCGCCGAGAAGAAAAATGAACACGTCCGAGCGATGCCAAGGCGTGTGGGTACCGTGGGCTAAAACTCCATGCGGGCCGGAAACTGAGCGCGCGCACATATCAGACAAGCAGAGCAGCGAAGAGAAGGGCGGCCCTGGGGAAGCGATGAGCCGTGTTTTTTCAAGTTTGGACCGTCCACTGTGGTCTACTCCTCCTCCTCCTCCTCCTCCTCCTCCTCCTCCTCCTCCTCCTCCTCCTCCTCTCCCTCCTCGCCCTTCCCCGTGGTGTCGGAATGGGTGCGCGGGTAGGGAGGGGCAGTGCTGAGCCACCTGTCAACCCTTGCGGTCCGCGCGCGTGTTTTCTCTTGCACGTCGGGGTCTCGTGCGCATTCGCTGGCCGCGCCACGTGTGAGCGCGGTGTGGCACAAGGCTGGTTACGCAGCGTCGCGGGGACAACGGGGCATCGTGCTTCATCCGCTTGGGCGGTCCTGGGGGGAGGGCGGCTCCAAGGAACCGATGGATCAAGGTATTCCCCGTTTGGACCGTCTGATGGGGGTCTGCACTTCTCCCGTCGTGTCGGAACGGGCATGCGGATTTGGGGGGACAAGGTTGAGCTACCAACGCTTTCGTTCCGCATGCGTGTTTTCTCTTTGCTTCGGCGTCTCGTGCGCTTTATCTGAGCACGTCTCAGACAAAAAAACGCTCGGGCGTCTTTCCTCAGTTTGGACCGTCGAACCTGCTCAATGCAAAGCGAGGGAGAGAGAGAGAGAGAGAGAAAGAGAGAGAGAGAGAAAGAGAAATTAGCCTGGCGAAGAACCCAACCATATGCAGTTTTCAGTACCGCAGCTGCGGGTTTCATCTTCAATGGAACTCCCCATAAGATTACGGAACGTGTGGGGGGTGTGCCGAGATGGGTGCCACTGGGGCATTCGGCGAAGCTCCCTATGGGGACATGAAACACGCGCGGGGCGTGCCGACATGGGTGGCGGAAACGCATGTGCGGGCCGCCACTGGGGCCTCCAGTGGAGCTCCCTATGGGTCCCCGAAACATGATGCTGCTGCGGGGGGGGGGGCGGGATGGGTGGCGGAGACGCATGTAAGCGCCGCTACTGGGGCCTTCGGTGGAGCTCCCTATGGGGCCACGAAGCGCGTGAGGGGTGTACTGGGATGTGTGGCGGGGACGCATGTGAGCGCCGCCACTGGGGCCTTCGGTGCAGCTCTCTATGGGGCCACGAAACGTGTGAGGGGTGTGCCGAATTGGGTGCGGGTGGTGACGCATGCGGGCGGCAGCACTGGGGCCTTCGGTGGAGCTCCCCATGGGGCCACGAAACCTGTTGTTGTGAGGGGCGTGCCGGGATGGGTGGCGGGGACGCATGTGAGCGCGGCCGCTTGGGCCTTCGGTGGAGCTCCCTATGGGGCCACGAAACGTGTGAGGGGTGTGCCGAATTGGGTGGGTGTGGGTGACGCA